AACATAGACGCATTTATGTAGATCGGGGGCGCATTCCCTTCAGAAACAATGTAATCCACTGCGAGTTCAGCGGCTCAGATTACTCAGTGGGAGTAAATGACGACTGCTATATTCATTATTGCATCCAACAACAGAACACCTCAATCGCTTAGGAGTCATTCTTGTCTACATCAGCTCCGGCGGTGAAACAATGGCGGACTGATGACAGCTCACTCAGGGTGGGTCTAAGAAACAACTTGTAAATGTGCATGTAGCATCCTATGACCCCTTTAACATTACCCAAAAACCTACACAAGCAAAGTGACATCAGCAGAAAAGAAAAGTTGTTTCAAACTGGAATAGCAAATAATAACATTTTGCTTTAAGACTACAAGTTCAAGGATTTGTTTTTCTATGAAATCATGTGCACTGATGATTTGACCACAATAAGAGCAGTTTTATGCATTAATAAAATAAATAAGGTCAATTTTGATTTTATGTTGGCTTTAAATTCAACACATTCACACATTCTACGAATAAAGTTTAACAAATGTTACCATTTCAAATGCATTACCTGGTAATATTTGGGTCTTGTGCTTTTAACACGAGGAAACTTACCCTATCTATTTTCTAAATTTATGTTAGATCTCATTGCGAATGATTCATCCATGCTTATGTTTCTTTTTTCTTTTTTAACTTGTAATTGGTTCAATTAACAACTGGTAGACTGAACCAAGACCAATAGTATGAAAGAAAAGATCTATCGCTATTTTTTACATCGCAACTTTAATTAACATCTACTTTATGGGCAACTGGTTGTGGTTGTTGTCTTCTAATGTCAAAGTGCTTTCCTAGGGTTTAGATGAAAACTACTTAGAGTCATTCAGTGAAAACTATAAATAACAAGGAAAGAGTAATACAATTATTTGAGGAAAAAAAAATCTATACACTGATTTATTGCCTTAATGATTGCTGAGAAGGCTGAAGGAGTTTAAAAAGCATTAATGTGTGTCAGCGGTGCTCTACTGCCAACCACAGTAAATATCTCAACAACAAAACAAAAAAAAATCACCTGTAAAATGCTCTAATGGGATGATAAACAGCCACATTCCCACCAAAGGACATTGTTCACTTCACATCATCAAGCACCTAAACCAAACAAGTCTCTGAGAAATTCGCCATGTTTCTACCAACCACATTCTGGTTGCTGTTTGTGCTGTAAGATATGTCTGTCAAAAGCAATTCCACCATAAGATGTCAAACACCTTGACATTAAGGAACTTGTTTCGTTAAAATAACAAAAGTACACGTACATGTGAATGTTCATGGTCTTAATTTTAGAAGAGCGTGTCAGCAAAGGAAAAAGGGTGGTGACTAAACTGAGCACTTCTTACATTCCAGTCATACATCTCCGACTGAATGTTTAAAGTCCCTAGAGAAATCACTTTAAGAACTAAATGGAGAGTTACAATGGTAATTCATTATGTAGTATCATTTGATGAGACATTTGGCCCAGACATGCAGTCTGCAGTTCATATTAATTACTACTAAGTTCAAATTGTGTTAACCAACATTTATTTGTAACTCTCCCAGAACTTTCTTTCAGGTGTGTTGATGTTGACACAATGCTCACTTAATCAAGACCTTGTGTCAATCAAGTGTCACAAGCAATCATAAGCTATGCATTCCTTATATACGGAATACGTTGTCATAATACTCTTAGAGGTCATTATGAAAATTTGCAGATAAGGTTTGCACCAGTAATCACTACAGCATTAGAAAGGTACAGCATAAGATGGTGATATAATGCATGGTCTTATGACTAAACTAAATGTGAATATCGATGGCAAGCACTTTGAATTTGCATGTTCCACTGGAACATTCGAGCTGTGATGCTTTTCTCAATGGGATCAGAGGTGGAAAGTTTTGTAGACAAAGTCTCACAGAGTCACTGTTTACTTTGTGTGTTTGCTGGCGGTCTGTGCAAAACATGTGAGAGAATCAATCCACACTGTCTGGTGGTCGTTTGAGCTGCCTGAAAGGGATTCCAGGAAAAACTAGGAACGATAAAGCCAGTGAAGCTCAGTAAATCACAAAAGAACACTTCACTGGAAAGCAAAAGCTCAATTACAGTAAGTAAAATGTATTTGTACTAAGAACGATGTGTACCACTTTTAGGTAAATTAACAGATTAATGTGAAGACAAAGCCATTAATCTTTGTAATTCGCACAAAAAAAAAGGTATAATTTTCTTTCACCGGATCTGCGGTGGCGAGTATGAAATGTTGCCATGAAACAGATGGCGGTTTATAAATCACAGTAAAGCATGGTCATTATTTCCAGACGATATGAATCAAACTGATGCTGAGTCACAAAAAGTCAACAAGAACCAAACCTGTCTGGGGCTTTAAGCAGATGCAAATGTGGAACTCTATTTGAGAAAATGAGGAAATAACTGGCACAGCATATTCCAAGACATGTTGTGTACAATGAATCATCTGCTAGGAAATGTTAAGCCACGCTTTGCACAGAGCACATCTATATCAGCGAAGGCCAGATTAGGACCTCTGGGCAATGGTTTAGAGAGTAATACTCACCCAGCTCCCTAGAAACAGGCGATACGGCAGCATTTTCCCCAATCTTTGAGACTGCATCGAAATATGCCTTTCCAGCAAAGGTCATTGCTATGAGAGAGTGAATAACTAATATTGATTAACAGGAACTGGTAGCCAGACTGCCTGTATTCCAGATATTTTGAGAGAAATATTGTTCTTTTTTTTGTCAGAGTTTTAGGTTTATTGAGCTTTTATGGGATATTTTATGCAACAATGTAGGGTTATGTATATTTATTCTTTTGTAAATGAACTGATTTGATTACCCGTCACTGCTTTCTCGTAGCTCTTCCCAAGGTTAACCAGATTCCGCAGTCCTGGGTTAAACTGTTCCACCACATTCTGGAAGAGCAGGAAACAAAGCTCATAATTCTAAGTTACAGGGAGAGCAGCTTACTGCTGCTGAATGAAACTTCGAAACTGACTCAGATTAATGCGCCTACCCCAGGGAAGATATTTTCTATGATGCTTTAGTTTTTTGTCTATACAATCAAGTCAGTGGTATCCAATGTTGTTTTGGACCCCATCGACTTCCACTGAATGGACAACACGTAAAACATTCTTCAAAATATCCTCCAGCTTTGGAAATATGATGATAAGTAAATGATGACATCATTTTAATTTTTGAACTGTCCCTGTTTCTACATTTTAAAAGTGCACATATTTCCCCATTATAGGTAAATCACATTTTATTGTCCATGCAAAAAAATGTACAACACACTTTCTAAAAATACCTCTACTGTAGCTAAAAATACCCTTGCTTAATCATTGACTTATAATTCTAATTATATTGCCTATGACATCAAAGTCCTGTGGCCCTTTGTGTCTCTATTGAAATGCCCTTCTGTAATGTAATTCTGGGCAGTTCCTCGGCTAGTTCCCAAGAACACACCCTTGGCAAAACAATGAACAGGTATGCAATAACAGAAACAGTTCAGCACAAACTGGTTCCTTAACTCAACCCACAAACCCAACTGAAGCACTTTAAAATGCACTCATGCCTCTATTGCACAACTTACAGGCACCTTAATGACAAAACGTACGAGTGCCATAAAATAACACGTAATTATTAAACAAACCAACACAACTTTCACGAGTCTGCATGTACTGGGCTTAATTTGTCAATGACAAATTATATACATAGCCTACACACGCGGTTGGCTTAGTCAATGACCAAGAAGATAAACGCCGTTTAAACCTACATTACCTTGTATGTGCTCTCGGTGAGTTTGTTCACGTCCTCCGGGGTTCGAGACATTTTTGCAGGTATTCTCCAAACGTCCTTGGTGACAATGCAACTTTCCCCGTTCAAATCGTAAAGCAGTGTTTTCGTCCCACCTGTTAACGTGTGCGAAGCGTCAGAGAACCGAGCGCTCTAGCGCTCTCGAGAAGAACACGATACTGCACTGATGCACTGAAGGAGGAAACCTTTCCGCGCGACCTCATGCCACACTTGGAAAGGTGGAATCCGTGACGTCACAGCTTTCTACGGCCAAACAGATATTAAGCCATTTCTTTCTCTTCTCTTTTATTATGTTTCCCCTGCACTGTCATATATTTTTTAGTTTAGTGTAATGATGATTAAAAACTATTTGTTGTTATATTGTTAAAGATATCTGGGTTGAACCTGGTGTATTCTGCACTGTGAATATATGTTAATTGCCCTTACACTAAAAAAAAAATTTTTTTTATCTTATGACAGTAAATAAAACAATGGTCTTGAATTTAATTTATTTTTATTTTGTTAGCCAATTCATTGTCAAAAGCGAAAAAGAAAAGAAAGAAATATACCGTTATTATGTTACACACTATAATAAAGTCAAGTTGTTTAACGTAGGCTACATGCAGACTGTTTTCGGCTTGAAAAATATTGAAAATAATGTAAATGTCCATTTCTCTCTGAGTAATTATAAGATCATTTTGTGCACTTGTGGACTGAAACTGGTAGCCTAGCATGATAGTGAGAGTGATGTGTATATCGAAGATTGATATCAAAATCATGAGGTAGATTATTCAGCTGAGAAACATTTCACGCTTTACATTAAAGCGCCACTTTGTGGCCGTTTGTTTTGTTGTTTTGTACTGTAGCAAAAAGTGTGACTACTAGCACTAGTCCACGTATTTTATAAGCTTGGGAATAATATGTAGAGACTTTTGCATCCTCTAAAATCTATCCAGAAATCTGTAAAGGAATGAGCTTGTGAATTAGTCATGTTTCTGCATTAATTATGTTTTCTTCGGCATCACAGCACACATCATTATTCAGATGAGCATAAGGATTCAACACGTGGTTATGAGTTCAAGCCTTTACAAAACAGCATGAAAGACATTCAAGCTTGACTCAGTCATACTTTCACAAGTCACAAGCTGTCGTCTGTACACATTTAGAAATAAATTCGGACGAGTCCACATTAACGGGTATGTATAGTTCTAATTAATAGATATAGACATGTTTTTCTATTATGACTAATCGTTTAGTCTTCCGCTTTTATATTCATGTTGAATGTTTATATTTCAAGCTGCAAACTGATTTCCATCAGGATCTGGAGTGTTCTAGTTCTCTCACTGATTTCCTCTCTTACTTTTGGGATACCCGACGAGTTATCCCATCAGTTATCTGGTAAACTGTCTAGTCCTCTTTTGTCTTTTGACTTGGTTGGTTACTTAGTGGTTACATTGTTTCTATTTCACTATAGGAAATGTCAAAGGAAGGATTATTTTCCGTCAAATGGAAGATAATTTAACATACTTGCGGGATAGAGGGAAGTTGGCATCTTACATACCCACCCTGGTTTCATTTGAGCACTTTGACCCGAGACATACCCTGCACTCTGTCACTTTCACATACACATGGGACTTAGGCAATGGGTGATTGTTATGCGAATAAATACATCAATTTCAATCAACTAAATGTTTATCTTTAAAAAGCTTTTCTTTACAGTTGACATTGTTTTTTTTAGGGAAGTGCATAAAGGCCCAGAGCCTTTTGTGAAATGTCACTACAATTCCTCAGGGAACTACACATTTCAACTGAGCATTGAAGCCAATACACCCCAAAATTCCAGATTGACTGGCCTGTACTCTGTAGATTTGACTGTGTTAGGTGGGTGCAGAATCATTATCTCTCTTAACTGACTCTTTATAGCTAGTACCAGTGGTGTTAACATGTCAAAGATTCTTTTGTTTTGTAGATGCCACAAAGACCATTGAATTGAGAGGCCCTTTAATTTATAACGTCGACCAGAGCAGCAGTCTGTCCTTTCATGTTGGAGGAAGGTAAATGCATTTCAAGAAAGTAAAAAAAATATTTGGGACTTTGGAGGTCTATTATTTTTATCATATAGTCTTTTATTCTCCAGCATCCTGTAAAAAGTCAATAGACTTGACTTTTTATTATTTTTCTATTGCATGTGATGTGTGTAGTCCACCGGTTTGGCTGTGCTGGAGAGTTTTGTCTGAATGCTACACACCCAGTCCAATTTCCTGCAATTTAGTCAGGCTCTACGGGAACATATTCAATCTGAACTACACCTTCAGATCAGTAGGACCACATTGCTTAGACCTGAGTGTGAGAAACAATATCAGCAACCTCCAGACATCCTACAACATCTATGTGCAGAGTAGCCGTAAGTATAATACTTTATCTCAAACTATTTATCTTTCTTCAGTCCACTGGAAGAGTAACTTTGAAGTGTTTCCTGTATTAGTGGAAATCCTTGTTTAGCCTATAAAGTATCATATTCTTCATGTTAATTGGAACCTAAAATGGCACAAAAAATGAAAATTATGTCATCATGTACTCACTGTCATGTTGTTCCAATGACATTTCTTTTGTGGAATGCAAAATGTGATATTTAGCATAATTCCAAAAGCTGTTCCTTTGCATTCAATGAAAGTGATACAAGTGAATGTGGACATATGTATGGGGACATATGTAGTGATGCATGGAAAGATTATCCATGTAAATGAACATGACCATTAAAAATCACTGCTTGCATCAGGATATTTTGCCTGAACACCATTTGGATTAAAAAAGCATTATGGTATAGCTTTAGGCCACTGATTGTTCATTCATGATTCATTCAGCCTCAGCAGAGAAGTCTGAATTACCCAACAATATAGCATTTTGACATCTAGATTTTCAAGAAACATTATGGCTTCTCACAGGTTGCAAAAAAAAACAAAAAACCATTAGAAACAACATAAACTCCTTCATACAACATGCTAGTTCCAGTCCTCAAATTTGATTGGTCAAGCAGCATTCCAGAAGTGTGGAGACAGTCCAACAGCACTGGGTCTTTTCACGTTTTAGACAGACTGTGTTAGTTTTATGTGTTTTTCTTTAGTGTCTTTTATACTACTTCGTTAATCCCGTATAGGTGGTGACAAGTGACTGTCTTAATGAGCAACTCATTGAATCATTATTCAACAGATTTGTTCAAAATACTGATTCATACAGGAACTAAACAATGCCACGGCGTGTTGCTCGGAAATGTAATGTGCGGTTTGTCCTGTGGTGGTAGTGATGAAAAGAGTTATTTATTATGCAATACCCTTTAAACTCTGAGCAAAAGAAATTACTCCAAATGTGTGTTGCCATAAAGATAAGCCTACTTGTCAATCAAATTAACTTAATATTTTTAACTTAGACCTAGGCTATGTGATTGAATAGTGATACATCACCTTGCAAAATTACTTCCAATAATCCAGAAAATTGGTTAAGATAAATGTGTGCCCCCTAAAAGCACAAGTGCTCCTGCTTATGTACAGTAAAAGAAATATCACATCAAATATTAGGCTGTGACATGGTTATGCAGTGCCATTTCCCACTAATCTTTGTTTGCTCTTTTTCACGTGTATATATGCTTTCCCACTAGCTGTGAGTCTCATCTTCATTTTGCCCTGTGCTGCAGTGATAGTTGCTACTCTCATATTCATCTCTGTGTCAGTGTGTCGTCCACGGCAGCAATCCCTCATGTCTAAGGCTCTGGTGAGTGATTCAGATCAGAAAAGAGAACAAGAACATACAATAATGTGAACTTGCTTATTATGTATTTAAGCATTTTGTGGAACTGCTTTTAAGTGTAACATACAGGTTTGTCCACTAGAGGTTGACATAGACCAGAAAGTAGGCTATTTAATGAAACAACCATTGTTAGAGGATTATTTTTGTTAATCTGTATTCTCTAACATTGTTATTCAAGCAATGAGTCAGTGTTTCTTTCTTGTGAAGTTGGTGGTTGTGAAGTTATGAGTTAAGTACTTTATTAGAGGTGATGCAGTTATGAAACCATTTCTGTCCCCTAGGATGATTCAATGTAGTCTTAAAAGATAGATGAAATAGTTTTTAATAGTGTTTTTTATTACCTTATCCTAATTTGCTGAAATAAGTGTTGGAATATTACATTTAAAGCTGCGGTCCGTAACTTTTGGCGCTCTAGTGGTTAATAAACAGAACTGCGTGCGTTTTGCGGAAGAACATTGTAGCTGGAGCTACTTCTCTGTTTATGTCTATGGCGAATCACGCAGGTACTGGGCTACTCCGCAGCGGTACCTACCCGAACCAGTCTAAAATAATCCGCATATAAACACTTATTATAGGTGTACCGTAGTGATTAAGGACAAGCCAAAGACACGGTTTGGAAAATGGATTCATGGTGTACTCGATTATTATATACATTTTGTAAATTTTGAACACAAAAAAGTTACGGACTGAAGCTTTAACAGAATATCGAGCCAAATTGACTTATTGCTAGTTGGTCAGACTATAATTCTTAAAGGGGTCATATGATGTTGCTAAAAATAACATTATTTTGTGTATTTGGTGTAATGAAATGTGTTTATGCGGTTTAAGGTTCAAAAAACACATTATTTTCCACATACTGTACATTATTGTTTCTCCTCTATGACCCGCCTTTGTGATTACATCGATTTTTACAAAGCTCATCTTTCTGAAAAGCAAGGTGTGCTGTTATTGGCCAGCTACCCAGTGCGTTATGATTGGCCGAATACCTCAAGCGTGTGACGGAAATGTTATTAAGCCCCTCACCATACTGTGATGCGCTGTCAGGCCGGAACATGAAAACCAATTATAAACGAGGCATTTGTTGCATCCAGTGCGGACATGATTATGGATTATAATGACTTATACTGTCTTTTTACGCGTTGCGTTGCATCACGCCGCGTAAACATAAAACCATGTCTGCATCTGTGATCGGAGAAATGACAAACAACAAGCCCTACTCTACACTGCCCAAAAAACTTGTTTTAAATATAAAAAATATAAAATATAAAAACTCTTTAAATATAAAAAAATACTTACTGTTTTTAAATATAAAAAAATACTGAGTCAGAACAGCCGGCATTGTAGTCTACTCTACCAGGATCAGGAAATGGTCCTCCATAAAATGTGCTGCACACATCTGAATATTTGGGTTGAAGTGTTCTGGAACAGTGTTGTAAATACAACTTAACCACTGATTTCTAGTCGTGTCCATTCTTCTTTATGCACCAAGAGCTTGTAACACTCCAAAGAGTTGAAAGAGGAAAAATTTTAATCGCATCATATGACCCCTTTAAGACACAGTCTTAAAGGAATAGTTCACCCAAAAATAAAAATTTCCTGAACCTTTTGCTCACCCTCAGGCCATCCAAGATTGGGAACAGATCGGAACAGATTTGGAGCAATTTAGCATTATATCACTTGCTCAACAGTGGATCCACTGTAGTGAAAAAGTGCCATCAGAATGAGAATTCAAACAGCTGATAAAAACACAATAATCCACAACATGGCTCTATTTGATGTCTTGTGAATTGAAAAGTTACACATTTATAAGAAATCAAATGCATCATTAAGATGTATTAAATTAAAACCATAAGTTTTGGACAAAATACAAGTCCATAATCTATAATAATGTTTCCTCCAGTGAAAACTTTAATCTCTGTTGTCCTCTCACATCAAAATCCATCAAAATAGTGTTGGTTTTGGACTGTTTTTGCTAATAAATGATGCTTGATCTGCAAATCACAATCTTCAAGATCTCTTCTGATTCAGATGCGAGAACTGATTAAAGTAGTATTATGAATAGAGGACTTGTATTTTAAACATCTTAATGATAGATTTGTTTATTAAAAGCACAACTTTTCGCTTCACAAGGCATTAATTGATGGACTGAAGTAGTGAAGTCAGCTACTTTAGCAGCTGTTTTATATGCTCATTCTAATGGGATCCATTCACTGTAAAGTAGTGACAAAATTCTCAAAATCTGTTACGATGAAGAAACAAACTCATCTACATTGTGAATGTCTTGAGGGTGAGTCACAGGGTGAACTTCAACATAGTGGCTATGTTTATGCAACTAGCCATCCTCCTGGAAAAATCTAATTTGCACTTTTCATAAAAACTAATTTTCATAATAATCATATTTTGTCCTCAATTTATTCACATGTAGGCCTACTAGTTTTCCAGTAAAGGTTTCTGTTTATGAAGGAAATAAAAAATGACAGGTCAGCACATCTCTCTTAAAACAGCAGAGTGACAGTTTGAAGTGTAATTTTAAGATTATTGTATCAGATTATATATAATCTGATATAAGAGAATATGTATTTAGGTGTCATTGCCAATTATAATAAATGTCTCTTTTTCTCTTTTTGTGTGTCTTCAGATGGCAGATATGAATTATCTCTCCTTCACAGAAATCGAGCTGTGTGCCAAAGATGCATCTGTCATAACAAATGAAGCCCAGCCGCTTCTTCATCATGAGACTTCCTACAGCACCCAACCCTGATTGCCCAGTCTACATTACACTTGAAGTATTCATTCAAATCAATCTTTCATTGAATTCTTTTGTCATGTTGTCTGTTTATTTACAACTAAAACTAAGATAGAAAAAGGCAGGTCTTGACCAGTGGTCTATAAAGTACCTGAAAGCCATACTCAAGTAAAAGTACAGATATCTTACCAGAAAATGACTTTGGTAGAAGTTGAAGTCACCGTTTAGAATATTACTTGAGTAAAAGTCTTAAAGTATATGATATTTATTGTACTCAAGTACAAAAAGTATTTTTTTTAAATCTTAAACGTACTTAAGTATTGAAAGTAAAAGTACAAGTAAATGCAAGATGGAAAAGAAGCAAATAAATATATATAAAAAATGTTCATACACAGCTTGAGTAGCAAGATTGTGTTCAGTTTTAACTCTTTCTTCCATTTTGTATTTTTGGGTAAGAATAAGAAGCACTTCATCCTGTACTTATTGTCTTTCATTCCAACATAAGAAAACATTTCTGGAATCTGCATCTGAAATAGCATTTAGATGTATTTACACAGTTTATGTATCTCAGAGGGGACATGGATGCATTTAAACTGCAGTTACAGATGCATAAATAGGCCTAATGTTTTGTTTTTAGCATAAAACGTTGAATACTGATATTTGAAATAATTTAAACCATGAAAAAAATAGTCGAAATGTGAAATTAAAACCGCCAGTAGGTGGCAGAAAGTGACTGTTAATGAGTGAGTCATTGAGCTTCAACCAATTCATTCAAACGACTGATTCATCCAGGAACAAAGCATTTGATTGTGTTAATGAGTGAATCACTGAATAATTTATTCAAGCTGATTCATTCAATGAGTAAACACCATCCATTGCTCAGACACAAAACAGTGCTGTGATCTTTGTTTGGAACTATTTTCGTTGGCAAAATTGAGCAAAAACAAGCAATATTATGTCTAAAATGTAAGTCACTTATTGCTTTACTGAACTTGTATAAACGGATTATTAAATGTGTTCATGCTGATATCTGCAGAAAAACGGTACTCTTTGTGTGATATAGATTAAGTTAACTATATTAAATTATATAAATATAAAAAGCATACAGATGCATTTTTGCCGTCTACAATTTATAATGCCTGGAATTTTGAGTTTTAATAGACTAATAAATCAACGTGCGTGCACTATGTGTGTGATTTGGTGATATAGCTTACTTGATAATGTCAGATCGCACATCATTACAACAACACTTACCATATTATCGCAGACGATGCTGTATATCGCACACCCCAGACTCGACTTGAATGGAAAATGAATCATCCGCGGTTGTGCGCACACTTGTTTGCACATGAGCAAATGTGTTTTTAGGAGTCTTAACTTGCAAGTGCCAGACCACTGATTCGTCAAACCCGCTTTCCTGCAGTCCGTGTTCTTCTGACTTCTGACTATTTTGTAGTAAGTAACGAATATGCTTCGGGGAAATGTATCGCAGTAAAAGTATACATTTTAATTAGGAAATGTAGTGGAGTAAAAGTAAAAGTTGGCTGAAATATAAAAACTCAAGTAAAGTACAGATACTCCCAAAAATACTTAAGTAGGCCTACTGACTGTAACGAAGTATTATTACTTCGTTACATTACACCACTGGTCTTGACTCAAAACCCTGTGAATCAACTCAATACAAGAGCACTGAAAGCTTTTTACTCATCTGATTCACTCTTCTTTTTCAATGTGAATTCACTAATGCTTTCTCTTCTATTTTTGTTTGTACTTGAGTGGGTTTCAAGGTTTACTTCATGAAGGTTCCATTTGTTAATGCAAAACTCCTTGAGATCCTAATGGATGTTGACACTGGTGATGAACCATTAAAGTATTAAAGTACACGAGGTTAGAGCGATTGCATGCAGTTCAACAAGCGTGCCTTGGAATATTGTTACAATTTTTAACCTGACCCAAATGTACAATACGCACCGCTATGCAGAATGATCATATTTCTTTGCGAGTGATTATGAGCGAGAGATTCATAGAGCTCTTTCTCCTGGAATGAATGAATCTGACTTGTATTTTCCTGCTGTGATGATCAATGACATTTGCCATCTGCACTGTGAGGTACCAGGAAGACAAGAATTACAGCTCCACAAGGGACTGCAAAATACCTCTCTAGGTTAAAGGCTACAGATGAGCAATGCATCATACGTCTAGTAATAACTGCCCTTCAGCTCAAAAGTAGCTGAGGCATTATTCTTGCCCTTGGAAGTGTAGCAGGAGTCATATGTATATGAAAGGACTTGAATTTGTTTCTTTACAAAAGTTTAGCAAAGATTTGTTTCCATGTTTTTTTCCCCACAAGGAAACAGTCATCCAATTAGTAAAACGTGTAATAACTTACGCTACCTTGAAAAAGTTTGTGGTCAGAAAGATTTTTTTTAATGTTCTCTTGTTCACCAAAGCTATATTTATTTGGTCAAAATACATTACATTAATATTATGTAAAAATATTTCAATTTAAAGTAACTGTTTTTTGTTTTCCTGTGATGTCAAATCTGACTGTTTATATATATATATACTACCAAGTATATATATATATATAGCAGCGTTCAGTGTCACATGATCCTTCAGAAATCATTCCAATATGCTGATTTGCTGTTCAAGAAACATTTATTATTATTATTATCAATATTTTAAGCAGTTGATGTTTTCAGGATTCTTTGTAACGCTATACACTATACCATTCAAAAGCTTGGAGTCAGTATAATTTTTTTTTGGGGGGGGGAAATTATGGAAATTAATACTTTTATTTAGTAAGGATGCATTAAATTGATCAAAAGTGATGATAAGGACATTTATAATGTTACAAAAGATTTCTATTTCAGATGTTGTTCTTATGAACTTTCTATTCATCAAAGAAACCTGAAAAAATTCCACTCAGCTGTTTTCAACATAATAATAATAATAATAATAATAAATGTTTTTTTAAACAGCAGATCAGAATATTAGAGTGGTTTCTGAAGGATCAAGTGACTGGAGTAATGATTTTTAAAATTCATCTTTGAAACAGGAATAAATTACACTGTAAAATATATTCAAATAGAAAGCTGGTAGTAGTAAATAGTAAATATTTATAAATAAGTAAATAGTAAAAATATTTATTAGTTCTTTTGCTGTATTTTGGATCAAATAAATGCAGGCTTGTTGAGCAAAAGATAATTATTTAAAAAACATTAAAAATCTTACTGTTCAAAAAATCTTGACTGGTAGTGTACACACACACACACACACACACACACACACACAAACATTAGGATTCTTTAATGATTAGAAATATTAAAGAAATATAAATATAATAAAGAACAGCATTTATTTGAAATACTGTATAAATCTTTTGTAACATTATAAATGTCTTTAATGTTGCGCTTTTGATCAATTTAATTTAATCCTTCTAATGCATTCATCTCAATAAAACTATTAAATTCTTTTTTTTTTTAAACCCTCACTGACCCCAAACATTTGAACTGTACTTTAAATATTTGTATTGTTTATACTTTATTATTGTATTACACTCCTTTGAGATCTTTGAGATCAACTACAAACATTTTGGTGACACTTTAGTTTAGGGACCAATTGCTTAATAGTAAGCATATTAATAGGATATTGACTGATTATTAGTACTAATAAAGCATATTAATATTAATCCCTTATTCTGATATAAGACCCCTTAATTATACCCCATACCTGAACATCTACCTTACTAACTATTAATAAGCATTATCTTTAAGCATTAGTAATAAGCATAATCTTCCTTATTCAGATTAACTCAGCTTTCTGGACTTCACACATCATTCAGTCATTCAATCCGATATCTACTTCACTTTAAAGCTCATAATGGTGATGTGTGACTGAAATGCATTTGGCAAAATTCTTTAAAGTATTAATCATCTCAAGGATGTGAGCTGTGAGGAAGCTGGAGATTTTTTCCCTCTGTAGGTGAAGGTCACAGAGATGCAGTTTTCTTTCTAGAAACCTAAAGACCTTCCCAACTTTCCAAACTAAATACTGTATGTGCTACCACCTATGAGCTTTTTATCGTCATTTCCACCTCTCCAAAGGTCATTTTCTTTTTTAAAATAGTTTGTTTGTCCAGTCTTGGGAAATGCCCCTCTGTGACACGAGCTTTGGCTTGGGACTGATCTCATCCCCTTAAGACAGGCTAATGCCCTCAGAGCCACCTGTCTGTCAGAGCAGTGTGATTACATGCTCTCCTTCCATTTTTTGACCTCAACCACATTTATACCTGCAGAGGTGACATTCAGAAAAGATTTTATGTAAACCATGTGTTTTTAAAGAAACTCGTACAATTCGCACATGTATTTTTTCTTATTTGGAGAAAACTGTGATATTTGGATGCAGTTTTTTGTTTGCATGTTATTGCCCCCACACCTAGCTATTGAACACACTGGATTATATAGATATGATTCAATTACTATTTAAAATATTATTGTAAAATATCAAGAGGACAGGGTGGACCAGCACATGACGGGGTGGACACATGCAGAACACACAAAGCATGACAAAATATGACAATGAAACATTTATTCAACTTCGGAAAAAAATAATATAATAATAATAAATAATATAATTACATCCTCAATCACATTGATATACCCCCCCCCCCCCCCC